TGATGTATTCTATTAGTGTGTTTTTAGTTACTGTGAAGGAGCTGGAAATTTTAAATGAGGATTTAAAATTATTAATATAATATAAGTTATATTATTAAATTAATTAATATATTTAATATTATAACTTTTAAAAAATAAAAATAATTAGTTATTAAATAACATAAGATTTATTTTTTAATATTTTAAATAATGTAGTTCATGTCATATTATTAATTTATTTTGATCTTAAATTTTAATTTTATTTATCATTATTCATTTTATTAATTTTTTACGTTTCAAGACTAATTTTTTATATAAACTTAAAAATATATCATCATATTAATTTAGTATATTAAAAAAATTAATTTTTTAAATATTAATTTTAAAATTTAAATTTTATATTTAATTTATAAAATAAAACTTGCTTTATATTAGATTCAACCATCTTTTTTTTAATGCCATAAAAAAAAAGTGTGCTTCACTTTATATAAATTTCTCTTGTACCCACAAATAAATTAATGATTGATCATCAAAGTTATAAGAAATTGTCAAATAAGCTGCTTAACTTTTTTTTTTTATTGATTTTGAAAGCTGAAGAAAAATTTTTAAGGGCTTAAGTGCTTAACTCATAATAGTAAAAGTGCAAGGGTCCAAAAGAGAATTTTCCCTTATGGGCTTTCTGGGCCGATGGGTATAAATCTAATTGCAATTGGTGAATCAGTGCATTCACTGCATCGGCCTTCTATTAGGATATTGGGTCATGGGCTCATTATGCCCACCGCCAGTAATGAGCTTTGGACCTATTTAGTTTCGGTGAGCACTTTTAATAAAGGGTTTTGTTTTATTTTTTTAACTTTTCTATTAATTAAGGAATTTTTTGAGCCACATGTTAAAAAATATATTTATAATATTTTTAATTATTAATTTATATAAAAAATAAAAATTAACTTAAATTTTATTAATTACCTAATTAAATCATTTCATGTAATATTAATATTAAAAATAAATTTTACTTTTTTAATTTTTTATACAAATTAATTATAAAATATGTAATAAATGTATCATTAACTTTTACCTTATGGTCAGGTCAAAAAGACCTTTTAATAAAAAATGAAAGAATAATTGGCTTTATGCACACAACAATGCTTTATTTTTTTTTCTAATTTTAATAAAACAAGTCAACTGATTGAAACTTTCACGAGAGAGAAATGAGAAGGGACATAAGGATTCAAACTTCGCCATATGAGTGAAAAAATACTTTTATACCAATAAGTTAACCAATTGCTCTACAACCTTTCCTTGTGCCACTCCATTTTTTCAAATTGTTATCACTTGTATGTTTGGTGAGTTAATATTACATTTTGGAGTAATAACTGTCTCAAAAATCTTACATTTTGGAGTAATACGTGTCTCAAAAATCTCTTTCATCATAGATGTGAACCTCCTAATGTTATTCACTGTTCCACACAGCTTTCCTTTAATCTGATTTTTATTTTTATTTTTTTGTTCAGAGATCAAAAAAGCTACATCTTAATACATAATAGCGATGTGATATCATAACAAGAAAACAGTGCAATACTTATTTAAAAGAGAGTCTTAGTAGTGTAGTTTACCTTACATGAACAACGCTTTAATTTTTTTTATTTAATAATAAATTTTTGAACATGTACTTTTTAGAATGAAGGTTAAAGTACATTTATTATATTTTTTATCATTAATTTATATAAAAATTTATTAAATTTTTTTATTTTTAAATTAATATCACATGAAATATTTTAATTAAAAATTAATAAAATTAAAATCAACTTTTATTAATAAATGTATACTTAATATATATATGCTTTTAAGATATAAATTAAAAATTTTGCTAATAATAATGCAAAGAAAGAGAGATATCGTTCCTTGATTAATTAAGAAATGTGCATATATACCAGACTCCAGCTCCAGCCCATTGTAATATTGTATCTTTTTATTTTTTCCTAAAGGCTGCTAGACAGCTTGAATGCACTTCTTGGGATCCAGAACCAAAAGGATTTAAAAACAGCTAAAGAAAGAACGAAGAAAACTGTTCAAGAATTGAAGTGTCAATTCAACCAAAAGCTTAAATTTTTTCCTTTGAAATCCATTATAATTTTATTGTTGCTTTTTTTTTTTTTTTGATTGCATAATGGTTGATAATCATCTTTTATCCTTTATATATCTCACTCTATTTATATGTTATGCGACTATAACTCATGATCTTTTTACTTTTAATAAAAAAAAATAATTATTGAATTATTTAAGTGAATGACTTATTTTATTCTCAGTTCTTTTCAAAATTATTAGTATTTTTTCAAGTACAAAGTACCAGTTGCATGCGCTTTGTTGTTACAAATTAAAATGCACATCATCAGTACATTTACTGCTCTCTCTCCCTGCCTTTGTATATAATTATACCTATAAAGGTGTTTGTTTCATCTTTGTCCCAACAAATAAATAGGAAAAGAAGATCTCGTCTAAACGCGGCGTACATATGTAACAGATATATTAAATTAAGTAGTGCTCTTCATCATATGTATATATTGAATCATGTTAATTGGCCTAGCTAATTGAATTTTTAATTTTTTCAAATTTTGTTTATTATTTTTTTTTATGAACTTCAGATTTTGTGCCATGAACTTACTTATATCAGTCATGGAAATATTTGGTCAAGAGGCACATTAGTTTTCAAAAATCATATTTAGTCTAGTTTTAATTTATATCATAAAGAAACTGTTTTAAAAGTTAAATTAAATAAAATAACAGTTTTAATTTTATCAGATATAATAAATAGGGATTTCAAATCATTAAAACCAAATTTTCTGATGATACATTATATTCCCTTAATCAAACTAGCTTGCATTTATACATTGCAAGTGTATACAATCACATACTTAATTTCATATTCTGCCCTTCATATTTCCTCAACCTTTTTTGAAGCATAAAAGGCAGAAAAAGAGAATAAAAGAAAACCCAAAGAGGCAGAGAAAAGGAAGCTATAAAGAGAATCATTACAATGATCAAGCGTAGAAGTAAGCAAACTAATTTTGCAGCCGTAGGCATTCTTTAACACAAAGAATGGCAAAGGGCACCATACCATTACAAAGAAGAAAGTAATGTTTGGGTCAATAGAAAAAGCAAAGGACTACAACATTTATGCTACATATATGCTTTCTCCAACTTCTACCGTTGGTCTTTTCATTCAATCCTCACCTTCCAATTAACAATACATCCAAATACTTAGGCCAAGTGGTTTCCTCAATTCTTCCCCACTATAAATTCAGCACATACCATCCAACTGGTCATTGCATATCCAAAAGTTGCAGCCATCTCATCAATTAAATTACAAGTGCCTTGCTGTTTAAGTAAGGGGAAAGGACATAGAGATGGGAGGATCAGGGTACACAAGGCAAAGGAAGTCATCATCTTCCTTCTCCATTCTCAATATTTTCAAGTGCTGCTGTTCTCAGGGGAGAGATGACATAAGTGAGGAAGGGATGTATGTGAGAGCCTACACCAGAGATGATGATAGAATCCCCTGCACCGCCGAACCGGGGATCGACCGTCGAGCTTCAGCCTTCATTGATAGGGTCAAGAGGACTGTTACTGAATCCGAGCGCCAAATCCTTACTGCCTAAGTTGCTTAATTATTTTTTGGTTTTTACTTCTTTCTAGCTATTTCCGTCCTGTTTCTTTATTTTTGTAATTTTGTTAATTTCATGTCTGCTTAAATGTTCCCAACTTGTAAGATGTAATAATGAGAACAAATAATTTATGTCAAAACTGAGTTCTTCTCAATGACTGCTAATATTGTTGGTGTTTACGGTTTTCTGGTAAAACACTGGCTATCGTTCCTCCATTTCCAACTAGTTAAATGTTTTCCTTCTAGAATTTTAATTGTTGATATTTGTGGTTTTCAGCACCATTTTAGCTCAATTTTTTAAACAATTTCTTCACTGAAGAAGAGTTGTTTTTTTTTTCCCTCGTTTTGTTTACTTTGAAAGGACACCTAATGCTATGAATTGTGCACATTTTGCGTACTCAATCGCCCACTTGGATGTACTTGTTGGCATCATATTCTCTGTGCTTTATAAATGCGTACCCAGAATTTTGTTTGCCTTCTGTTATTAAAGGAGCAGACATTTTAATGGGCTGCTTATTAATCTTTGATTGTGAAAATGACAATATATAGAGAACATTACTGGACATTGCAGAAAGAATATTGTTTTCCACTACATCCACATGGTAACTCCCTTGTGAAAGGCAGGCAGGG